ATACATAACTTACACAATGTTAATATACACATACATAACTTACACACTGTTAATAGACGCATACTTATCTGTCATAATGTTAATAGACACATACTTATCTGTCATAATGTTAATAGACACATACTTGTCAACCACAATGTTAATAGACACATACTTATCTGTCATAATGTTAATAGACACATACTTATCTGTCATAATGTTAATAGACACATACTTATCAACCACAACGTAAATAGACACATACTTATCTGTCACAATGTTGATATACATAAACTTATCAGCCACAATGTTAATAGACACATACTTATCAGCCACCATGTTAATATATACATACATACCTTACACAATGTTAATAGACACATACTTATCAGCCACCATGTTAATAGACACACACATAACTTACACAATGTTAATATACACATACATAACTTACACAATGTTAATAGACGCATACTTATCTGTCATAATGTTAATAGACGCATACTTATCAGCCACAATGTAAATAGACACATACATATCAACCACAATGTTAATAGACACATACATAACTAACACAATGTTAATATACACATACTTACCAACCACAATGTAAATAGACACATACTTATCCGCCACAATGTTAATATACACAAACTAATCAGCCGCAATGTTAATAGACACATACATATCACCCACAATGTTAATATACACATACATAACTTACACACTGTTAATAGACGCATACTTATCTGTCATAATGTTAATAGACACATACTTGTCAACCACAATGTTAATAGACACATACTTATCAGCCACCATGTTAATATACAATGTAAATAGACACATACTTATCTGTCACAATGTTAATATACATAAACTTATCAGCCACAATGTTAATAGACACATACATATCAGCCACCATGTTAATAGACACATACTTATCAACCACAATGTAAATAGACACATACTTATCCGTCACAATGTTAATATACACAAACTAATCAGCCACAATGTTAATAGACACATACATATCACCCACAATGTTAATATACACATACATAACTTACACAATGTTAATATACACATACTTATCAGCCACCATGTTAATAGACACATACTTATCTGTCATAATGTTAATAGACGCATACTTATCTTCTTATCAGCTAATAGACGCATACTTATCAACTACAATGTTAGTAGACACATACATAACTAACACAATGTTAATATAGACAAACTTATCAACCACAATGTAAATAGACACATACTTATCTGTCACAATGTTAATATACACATACTTATCAGCCACCATGTTAATAGACACATACTTATCAGCCACAATGTTAATAGACACATTCTTATCAGCCACAATGTTAATAGACACATACTTATCAGCCACAATGTTAATATACACAAACTTATCAACCACACCGTTAATAGACACATACTTATCAGCCACCATGTTAATAGACACATACTTATCTGTCACAATCTTAATATACACATACTTATCAACCACAATGTTAATAGACACATACTTATCAGCCACAATGTTAATATACACAAACTCATCAACCACAACGTTAATAGACACATACTTATCAGCCACAATGTTAATAGACACATACTTATCCGCCACCATGTTAATATACACATGCATAACTAACACAATGTTAATAGACACATACTTATCAGCCACAATGTTAATATACACATACTTATCAACCACAATGTAAATAGACACATACTTATCTGTCACAATGTTAATATACACAAACTTATCAGCCACAATGTTAATAGACACATACATAACTAACACAATGTTAATATACACATACTTATCAGCCACAATGTTAATAGACACATACTTATCAACCACAATGTTAATATACACAAACTTATCAACCACAACGTTAATAGACACATACTTATCAGCCACCATGTTAATAGACACATACTTATCAGCCACAATGTTAATATACCCATACTTATCAGCCACAATGTTAATAGACACATACTTATCAACCACAATGTTAATATACACAAACTTATCAGCCACAATGTTAATAGACACATACATAACTAACACAATGTTAATATATACATACTTATCAGCCACATTGTTAATAGACACATACTTATCAACCACAATGTTAATATGCACAAACTTATCAACCACAACGTTAATAGACACATACTTATTAACCACAATGTTAATATGCTCAAACTTATCAACCACAATGTTAATAGACGCATAACTTACACAATGTTAATCCACAACGTTAATAGACACATACTGATCAGCCACCATGTTAATATACACATAAATAACTTACACAATGTTTATATACACATACTTATCTGACACAATGTTAATATACTCATACATAACTTACACACTGTTAATAGACGCATACTTTTCTGTCATAATGTTAATAAACCCATACTTATCAGCCACCGTGATAATAGACACATACATATCAACCACAATGTAAATAGACACATCCTTATCAACCACAATGTTAATATACACATAAATAACTTACACAATGTTAATCCACAACGTTAATAGACTCATACTTATCAACCACAATGTAAATAGACACGTACTTATCAACCACAATGTTAATAGACGCATAACTTACACAATGTTTATATACACATACTTATCAACCAATGTTAGTAGACACATACATAACTAACACAATGTACATAGACACATACTTATCTGTCATAATGTTAATAGACGCATAACTTACACAATGTTTATATACACATACTTATCAGCCACTATATAGACGCATACTTATCAACCACAATGTAAATAGACAAATACTTATCAACCACAATGTTAATATGATAATATACACATACATAACTTACACAATGTTAATATACACATACATAACTTACACAATGCTAATAGACGCATACTTATCCGTCATAATGTTAATAAACACATACTTATCAGCCACCGTGTTAATAGACACATACATAACTAACACAATGTAAATAGACACATACTTATCAACCACAATGTAAATAGACACATACTTATCTGTCACAATGTTAATATACACAAACTTATCAGCCACAATGTTAATAGACGCATACTTATCAGCCACCATGTTAATAGACACATACTTATCTGTCATAATGCTAATAAACACATACTTATCAGCCACAATGTTAATAGACACATACATAACTAACACAATGTAAATAGACACATACTTATCAACCACAATGTAAATAGACACATCCTTATCTGTCACAATGTTAATATACACAAACTTATCAGCCACAATATTAATAGACGCATACTTATCAGCCACCATGTTAATATACACATACATAACTTACACAATGTTTATATACACATACTTATCAGCCACAATGTTAATAGACACATACATAACTTACACCATGTTAATATACACAATATACACAAACTTATCAGCCACAATGTTAATAGACACATACATAACTTACACCATGTTAATATACACATACATAACTTACACAATGTTAATAGACGCATACTTTTCTGTCATAATGTTAATAAACACATACTTATCAGCCACAATTTTAATAAACACATACATAACTAACACAATGTAAATAGACACATACTTATCTGTCATAATGTTAATATACACAAACTTATCAGCCACAATGTTAATAGACACATACTTATCTGTCACAATGTTAATATACACAAACTTATCAGCCACAATGTTAATAGACACATACTTATCTGTCATAATGTTAATATACACATACTTATCTGTCACAATGTTAATATACACAAACTTATCAGCCACAATGTAAATAGACACATACTTATCAGCCACCATGTTAATATACATATACTTATCTGTCACAATGTTAATATACACAAACTTATCAGCCACAATGTTAATAGACACATACATAACTTACACAATGTTAATATACACATTCTTATCAACCTCAATGTTAATATACACATACTTATCTGTCACAATGTTAATATACACAAACTTATCCGTCACAATGTTAATAGACACATACTTATCTGTCATAATGTTAATAGACACATACTTATCAGCCACAATGTTAATAGACACATACTTATCAGCCACCATGTTAATATACACATACTTATCAGCCACAACGTTAATAGACACATTCTTATCAGCCACCATGTTAATAAACACATATTTATCAGCCACAATGTTAATAAACACATACTTATCAGCCACAATGTTAATTGACACATACTTATCAGCCACAACGTTAATAGACACATACTTATCAGCCACAATGTTAATAGACACATACTTATCTGTCATAATGTTAATAGACACATACTTATCAACCACAATGTAAATAGACACATACATATCAGCCACAATGTAAATAGACACATACTTATCAGCCACAACGTTAATAGACACATCCTTATCAGCCACAACGTTAATAGACACATACTTATCAGCCACCATGTTAATAAACACATACTTATCAGCCACCATCTTAATAAACACATACTTATCAACCACAATGTGAATAGACACATACATACCAGCCATAATGTTAATATACACAAAATTATCAGCCACAATGTTAATATACACAAACTTATCAGCCACAATGTTAATAGACACATACTTATCAACCACAATGTAAATAGACACATACATATCAGCCATAATGTTAATATACACATAATTATCAGCCACAATGTTAATATACACAAACTTATCAGCCACAATGTTAATAGACACATACTTATCAGCCACAATGTTCAGGAAAATGACTCGATTTCCACGGCAGTCCTCTGGAAATGACCTTTTATCAATCCTAGTATAGATGTGACCGGTTAGGGTAAGGGTTAGGGTTGACCCTTTCTCAATCCTAGTATAGATGTGACCGGTTAGGGTTAGGGTTGACCCTTTCTCAATCCTACTATAGATGTGACCGGTTAGGCTTTGTAAACGTTACCTATTTATCAATCCACTCTTTGTTGTGCGTTTCAGTCAATCATCTCCTTGCAAGACGTACTTGACTTTTCTATAAAAGAGGAACCAGGCCCGTACGTCCAGGGAGAGATGCCATTTGGCAGGTCACCGATTCCACTTCAACATGTTTTCAGCATGTGGCCCGAGTCCTCGTGTTGCTCAAGATATGAGTGTTTTCCACATACAAATCCGAATAGATTATATTCTAACGTAAACGGCTTTCTACCGCCACTATGTTTTGAGGATCGCAATGCGCCGGGACCTATAGGTAAGTTTTTTCTTTTCTTCGATAATTCTACTATCCCGGGTAAACAACTACAAGAAAAGGATATTACTAGGGTTTGGCCTATAATTATGTTGTTGGAATTGTCGATGAAACCACATAATACATTTACTCATCCGGAATACCTGATTGTATTAATCCTATACTTGATTAGTTAGACACTGATCAAATGTGTCTGTTCTTACTGATTATTGTTTCTCCCCAATATCATCAGTTTGATCTTACGTAAGAAGCCTATAAAATTATCAATGACTAGACCATACAGTTCCCAGGTAGTAGCCAATAAAGTTATCAATGACTAGACCATACAGTTCCCAGATAGTAACCTATAAAGTTATCAATGACTAGACCATACAGTTCCCAGTAATTAGCCTATAAAGTTATCCATGACTAGACCATACAGTTCAAAGTAA